GATATGAAACTTTAATAGTTGTACTTACGCACAATCTATCTGCAATATTGAGTTTTAAGTAATATGCATTAATAAACAGTAATTTACGCATGAAAAATGATTTTTAAGAGTTTTTGTCAAATGCTTTATAATATAGTATAGATATATAAAGTTACATATTTATGTAGAAAATACACTCACATTGCTATGTTTAAGTATTTTAGTCACTCAATCAACATCATGTGTGGTTGAATCTGATGATTGTCAGAGTCGAGTTCATTTGGAGACATCAAAGAGAATATATTAATTTTCATTTTACTTGATAAAAATGAAAGTCAATCACATTCAACCTAAGATCAAGCTGTATAAATTATTTTTTTTTGTAACTTATATTTGATTAAAAATATTATTATATAATAGAGAGACAAAATGGTAACAACTATCCCGCACTGTTTATTGGAGTCATACAGAATAATGAGTTTCGTGGGTGGTGTATTTGTTTTGGATTATATTAAGTTGAATAAATGTATTATGACTGTCCGACATACCACCAATACAATCTTGTCCACGATGGATGAATGATTCTTATCGGTAAGAATACAATTTTTAGTATATTTTTTCACAATATAAACACAGACATATAAAGCGACAAAACCCTCTTGAATAGAAAGGTTTGTAAACTCGATTAGAGTTTACATTTCTACCAATGTGGGATGGAAAAACTTCCAAACTCACAAAAATTTCCAACAGGCCACGACAACTATCTCAAAAGTATGTGATTAATTAAAGATGAAAACTCACAAAACAAATGTAAATTAGCTTAGAAAACTGAACAAAAACATTGTCTCACAAACATCGATCGAGCTGCAAACAAACATATGTTAAATACAAGGAAACAAAAACAGCCCCATCGATGAACATAACGACAACCACAATGGTATCATCTCCAATGTAGACCATGGTTGAGGCCAAAAGGAAAGAAGCTAGGGTTTATGAATTATGTGTCATCAACATAATTATTTACCTAACCACAATTAAGGGCTTGTTTGGTGTCGATAAAAACGGCAGCATCTCTTACTCCCAACTTCGATTCTGATTTGGTGCAAAAACCATTTAACGTTGCCACATCGCAGGGACGACTTTGCCGGTTCTAGTACTGTGCGGCATGCAGTAGGCCTAGACCACGTCGATTATGTTTGAAATCGAGTATTATTTGTTCCCCAAATAGGATATGATGAAAAATATGAATCAAATCATGATCAAATTTGGTGATGATGACGTTGTAACCTTAATTATACATGTTAATTAATGGAAACATTCTGGAGGAAGGCCTTGGGGGAAGCGATTGTTGTCATTGCAGTAATTGTAAACCATGTAATTACGTTGGACCCATTTCAGCATCTCCTGACTGCTCAAATCCAGTTCTTTTTGTTTATACCAATCATGCTTCACAGTTTTTGATCTTCCTAAACTGCAATCAGTCTCCCCATTCCACCAAACACAACCCCTCCCCTTATAATTTCGAAACCACGCTCTGAATGGAGCCTCTGTCCAGTTCGTTTTGATCGTTCCGCCTCTCGTCGCCCATTCGTCGCCATCCCAGAGGGTCACGTATGCCTTCATCGGCACGTCCTTCGTGTATGGAACCCCAACTGATTCCAAGTTTCTGAATACTCTAATGGGTGTTCCATCGACGTAAATCCTAAACAAATGAATCAAACAACATAAATGAGTAATAGATTGGCGTATTATTCATTAATGCATGAAGCAAATTATGATACATATACGTGGATACTTACACGATCATAAAAGGGTTCCAAATAATCGTGTACGTGTGGAAACTGGAGGTGGGATCAAACCAAAGATGAAACTGTTGCTCTCTAGAACCTTTTCCTCTCGTATACACGTTGGTGTGAAGAGTGTACGGATCACCTGTTAGATTTCCCAAGAACTCGATGTCTATCTCGTCACGTTTATCACCTTCTGATCCTAACTACACAAAAACAAATCATGATCATCCATCTTCCACACATAATTCATTAATCAAAACCAAAAGAAAGTATATAGAAACCTAAATAGAAGGCCGTAACGGTTCCGGCAGAGTTTCCAGAAATCAGCTTGATTTGCATATCGATTCTGGAGAAGATATACGCCCGATGCGATTGGAACCCGGAACCAGAATGTTCATCAAGAGACAACATCAAAACCCTACCGTTGTTAAGAACGGTTCCTCGATCATTGCCCCAAAGAACGTGGAAATCTCGATAGAAGTTGGTGGATAAGACAAGTTTGATACAACTCAAGATTATAAGTGGTATAAGATAGAGCATAATTAGAGTGGTATTAGATGAAGTAGACATTGCGTGTTTTGTATCATGACAAGATGAAGACATCGTTCGAATTTGGAGGCATTTATATAGCAGTAAAGAGAGCTAAAAAAATGTCATTTAGTTGGTTGATATAAGCAAATTGAAACCTTCAGCCTTGTTTTTCTTGAATCATTGACATTGCATTGTATGTTTGTACATTATGTAGTAGAGTTTGTACTTAGATCCAAGATGAAAATTGTCGTCTTAAGCTTCAAAATCGGATCTTGTTTTTTCCCTTTAATTTCCTGGTTGACATTTTTGAATAAATCATTTAGAATAATGTCAAAATGTGTCTCTAATCTTGTCACGGTATTTGACCGTCTCACTCATTTAATGTTTATCCGTAATTATTCAATGTTATTTACTTCTATTTTAAATAAAGAGTGAATTGTGGAATTGTTTTATGTGATTTGATGTTTTCTTTTATATATTTGGGTTTTCAAATATTTAGTATTTATGGTATTCAATTTGTCTTGGGGTTCATCTGATTCACGTTTTCGTTAAATCAAGGATTATTTTAATCTTTTGTCTATTTTTTTTTGCTTTTTTTTATAAAAAATAAAAACAAATATATATATATATATATATATATATATATTTGTGTGTGTGAGTGTGTGCATGCGTTTATGTGTATATATATAATATCAAAATAAATAAAATAAGATATTATTTTATAATTTGATTTGTTAAATATGATTTGATGTTATTGTTTTATTAATTATATTAAACTAGAACGGTATTCGTGCAATACAACGAGATACATCTTGATTTTAATATTTCATTTTATTCTTTATCTCAGTCAATGTTATAATATGGTCTCATGTGATTTTGAGAAAAACGATGCTGTTTTCTTTTTCAATAAAATATAAATTTGAAGATATTATAAAAATTTGACAAAAATATATCAATATTAGTATCAAATTAACTATTTAAAATTTCTTATTTTTTATGTAATTTTTAATTCAATTTTTTATTATAATTTAATTTAGGTTCAATAATGAAGTAATTTGTATTTTGGTTTAATAATATAAGTTTCTTACAAAGATAATAATTAATTATTTTGTTAGAACTCGATAATTATCCTAATTATATATTAGATTTTTTATATTTTAAAATAAGATGTTTATCCGCAGTTAATTACACAAATTTAAACATGGAGCTTTATTAAGTTGTACTTATGCATAATTTACTTGTAATCTTAAATTTAAGTAATATGCATCAATATACAGTACGTTATGCATAAAAATGGTTTTTAATAGTTTTTGTCAAATGCTTTATAATATAGTATATATATGATTTGATTTTATTGTTTTATTAATTATACTAAATTAGATTGTATACTACAACAAAATTGGGTTTATAGGACATCACCAATCTCTAAGTGTTCCAATAGACCGTTTTATAGAACTTAATATATAGGACCAAAATATAAAGTGTCATATCTAAAGATGTTGTAATAAATTTATATGACGCTTTTGGGCGTCTTAACAAGTTTTTAATGATATTTTTAATACAAAATGTAGCATTAGCAACTTTATAGGACACTTTGAGAAAGTGTCATATAAACTCAATTTTTATAGGACATTTGTTTTTATAAGACAATTTTTCAAATAGTGTCCTATAAAATTGCAAATGAGACGCTTTATATTAAAAGTGTCTTAAAAAATTATTACGACGTCAAAAAACGTCATATAAACTTATTACAACACCTTTAGATAGGACGTTTTATTTTTTTGGTCCTGTAAATAAGACTTATAAAGAGGTCTATTAGGACGTTTAGAAATTGAGAGTGTTCTATAAACCCGTTGTTGTAGTGGTATTTGATATAATTAATTTTTAAATCAAATCATAAAATAATATTTTATTTTATTTATTTTGATATCATTATATTTGTGTGTGTATACATATACTAGTTGTGTACCCGCTGCAATACAGTTAGATGCAAAAAAAATTGAAGTTTTTTTTTGTCTTCCTGTGGAAGAGATTTTTTAGGTCTTATAATAATATAATCTCCTCAAATTTATACAACCTAACTCATTTTAAAAGGCCAAGAGTTATGGCTTTTTTTTTTGCCAAGTTTTTAGAAGTACCGTTAATGCATAAATTTAAAATAATGTTATTTAAGACATAACATATAAAACAAGTTATTTTTAATAATAAAACTTGTAGGGGCAACATTTAAATCAACAATTTCTTTTTAGAAAAAGAACTATTGCATACCATCTAAACTAATATTATTTGGTCATTTACTCATGTGCAATGTTGCATATTGAGAACTCAAAACAACAATCTTGTTTCATCTTTTGTTCTATATTGTGTTATTCTCGATGCTAATTTTATGGTTTTTTGGATTTTAATAGCAAACTGGTTAGACGGAGATTTTGAAGTGGAAACGCTCGATAGTTGGGTTTTCAAACTCATAATTTATCCATCGACCCGGGGTCATTTTCGGGTTTTCACCCAACAGTATGATGAACATTTTCGTAGGTCTATGCGTTTACGCATCAATTTGCAAATACGAAGGTCAACCATTGACGTTTCCAGGAACCAAAGAAGCATGGAATAGCTTCACCGATGCTTCAGATGCCAATTTGATCGCCGAGCACCAAATCTGGGCGGCGGTCGATCCGATCGCAAAGAACGAAGCGTTTAACATCATTAACGGGGACGTTTTCAAATGGAAGCATTTATGGAACATTTCGGCCGAGCAATTCGAGGTCGAAAACGGCGGGTTCTAGAAGATGAAGAGAAGAAAAGCTTTGTAGAGATGATGAAAGATAAAGGGGGTGTTTGGGGTGAGATTGTGAAGGAGAAGGGTCTTTTGGTAAATAAAGTAGAGGAGGTTGGAATGTGGTGGTTTGTGGAGGATGTTCTAAGTAATCAAGGGATGTTGGATATAATGAATAAGAGCAAAGAACATGGATTTTTAGGGTTTAGAGATACAAAATCATGCTTTGTTTCTTGGATTGATAAGATAAAGTTTTCCAAGATTGTGCCCTAGATGTGATTTGTTTATATGGTAATGGAATTTTTGATCAATCGTTTTGAAGCGAATGACAATAACTGTTATCTTATATCTGTTAGATTGCTATATCAGCTAGATTTGAACTGTTTCTACTCCAAACATGTTGGAACTTATGTTTTATTTGTGATATAGAACCGTTTTTTAAGTAAAGAGAGGAAGAGAGAGGAGAGCAGAAAAACCAGGGTTTGTTTGGTTGACAAAATGTTTTTGAGCATTTTGGATTTCGAGGGAGAATTTGGACAGGGTCTCCAAAATTTTAGGTTCAATTGCATGAAAAAGTAACGTAGTTTAACTTGATTCATATTTTAGGTAACGTACTTTTAAAACTTTCATTTTGGCATCTAAGATGTATATTTTAAACATTTAAGTACCCCGGTAACCGGTTGAAGCATTAACTGGTTATCATGCTGATATGGAGAGGGATAAAAAACATTTTTAAATCAATGAAATATGTTAAAGTTTGGTGCATATTATGCAATTACTAAACTCGTCATATATGTTTCGATAATACCTTCTATGCCTCTGTGATGATCTATCTAGTAGTAGTTTAATTACTTTCATATTATTCCTTCTATCCTCTTCATAAAAGAAGTGTAGTGGATTAAAGCTCGAATGATTTATTGTTCTTGAAGCAATGCGATATATTAGTGGCATCAAAGTTGACACAATAACAAACTTTCTAAAAAACATCGAATCTCTTACACAACATCATCATATCTCACTATCAATACTATACATATAAGCACGAATAGTAATTACATGTTGAAATTTAAGAGGTTAGAAGGAATAATAGTAGTTACGTGTCTAGAAATGTTATATGCTCCAACAACATACAAGAAAATAGTGATATACCGAACACACATAAGTTTTGTCTTGATAACTAACTTAATTAGTTAAACCGCAATATAACATGTTTGCTTGAACAACAAATTTCCGGGATACTTCTCTCATCTATTCCATTCTATAAAAAAGAAAACAAAGGATGAGATCATAAATCAGCGTTTTTGAGAAGGAAAAAGTCGTGGAAAGATCATTAAGTCATAAAAAGATTACCGACATAGAACTATAACAAGACTTTTAATACAAGTAGTTAGGAGGTTTTAGAGTTATTGATTGTTGTTGGGTTTGGTTAAAAACAACCATTGAGAATTTGATTAGAAGACTATTCGCTGTGTAAATGGATGATTTTAATTCAATGGTGAGTTTGCAATGAATACCGAGTATGGTGGAAGTTTTCTCAAGAACTACCAACGGTATATATGATTTTCAAAGGTTACTCAAAAGGAGGTACAAGTATATATGTTCTTTATTGAATATAAGCAGCTATGTTGTTGCTCAATCTGATACTTGGTTTGAGGTTTGAAAATAGTTTCTTGTAAACACATTCAAAGATTACATAGTTTAATAAATCGAAATTTATGTACACTATTAAGATGAAAAACACGAATCACTTGAGATTTCACGGAAATCTAGGATCATATAAGACAAAACAATTCGTACATGTTGAGGCTGCTACATGTTGGTAAAGCAAAAGTTTCTATGCCAAGAATGTGATAGCTGCTGCATCATCAGCTGAATGGTGAAGAGTTGATTTTTTCATGGCATTAATCTTAATTGGAAAAAGCAAACAATATATATATATATATATATATATGCATGTTCAAACGAGAATATGGTCAATATATAGAAAGACGAAAAAGAATATGGATCACAAAAATTAGTTAGCTTCTCACATGATCTTCTCCGTCTCTCTATATATGTGGAAGAAAGACATAAAACATTACGGACTTAGAATTATGACAAAAATAATAAATAACATATGGAGAGTGCACATGTCCGTTGTGTAATAAAATAAAGGTACAATAACCAAATATTTATAGCAAGATCAAGATATTACTTTAGCACTTGGAGCAATAATTAAACAACCAGCTACTTGCATGGCTGATTAGCAATAACAAAAGAACCAAGGTCATGATTTAATTAAGTTATTAAATATACCATATAACAATACAAACACCCTATAGATTAAATTTAAAAAAACACAGTATGTGTTTAAATAGATGACAGTTTAATCCATTTCTCATCTATCTTTCACACTACAATATCGCTCCAAAATTTCAAGCTTGCATGGCAACATTACTTGCAATTGATCCTTTTGTAATGCCATTCAAGTATATGATCCCAGATTCAAGTCTAATCAATCAATTCACAATTAATCAAGAACATAGAAAGATGATTTCAATCAGTCGGCAAGTTTATTGAAGTCAAATGTGTACAAAGTTCTTGATTACAATATCTCTTAGATTCACTCTCAACTGTGTATACGTATGGAATGTATTTTGTCAAAGTTACCAACCACCAACTAAGAACAAACACCCTATTTATAGAAACCTATAAAAGAAAATAAACCTACCATTACAAAGAACAAAGCAACTATTACAAAACAATTAAAACTGTTTAAGCACGAGACTTGAATACGACATTTTGACCCAACAAAGTATCCCATTAGAGTTTTCCTATAAGATGTATTATCATAAGAAAGAAGAATATTAGCAAGTGATCATGTACAAGAATAACCATGTCAAAAGAAGTACCAACTTCAGACCTAAATCAAACCTTTCGAGTACAATGTATAAATCACTTAGTCCTAGTTAAAATAAGACCTCTACATAACAAGTGAAAAACGCATGCAATATACAAGAGAAAGAGATTTGGTCACATCTAGACCATTTGAACACTACCATATATAAAAGAAAACCAGTAACATGAATCTTGCTACCCCATAAATGTTTCTTGGTGAGCAGAAGCATCATGAGAAAAAGATCAAGAAAGCAACCTACGAAGTTGTACCCCTTCAGTTGTCATCCATCTTCAAGAAACCTTCATACCAAAATGTTTCATGTAAAAAGAAAGATCTATATAGGCATAACAATTGAAGAAATCTCTTACTACAAATGAAACCTATGTTGTACCAAACTCAAAATGTCAAACACAATATTTTGTAGGGCTATAAAGCAATAGATAAGGAGATCAGAAAGAAATCCTGCGAAGCAGCAACTGATATAAGTAGCAAATAAAAATATCAGATCTTGTAGATTGGAACTTGGGAAACTAATAAACCATTACTAAACCCTGCATGATATGCTCAGAAGAATGTCCACAAAATCCCCACGCTTTTGAACAACCTTATAAAATGGATTATGTTTGTACAAACATACAAAGAATAAGTAAACATTTGATAAAAGATATTTTATTGGTATTGAATATGAATGCATGCAACAAATAATACTTGAAATTTGAAGGTGATCCCAAATACCTCGCCAGTTTTAGCTTTCCAAGAAAACTAAGACCCTCATAGATCAAATCAAAGGTGCGAATCTGACCAAGAAACAAAGCATGATCTTGTGGCCCTTCAACAAATTCTTCTATGTCTTAGAAATACTAAACTTCGAAATCGTGTTTGGAATGTCTTCTTTACTCCGAGCCTCCTCTTTATCCATATCTTTATCTTTTTCTTCTCACTTCGTTTATCAAGTCCTCGATCTTCAAAATTTTCGAACAAAACATTTTAGCAAGTGATCAATCATGTTTTACGAAAAACATATTATATAATTCAATAATTTAAGATTCACGCAAGAAGAGTACCCAACAGAAATTGAAAGACTCATATGGTATATAGTGATTCGTCAAAATATCATATATGTGTCCTATAAATATTTGAAGGAAACACTAATAAATAGTTCAAGAAGGCCGGCCTTGAATCTCCTTTAGTCCTTTGAACTGAGGCCATGGCATTCTTGTTACAGTTGAGAAGCCTTCCCAAATCAGCCATGACAATCTCTATAAAAGAAGTCACAGAAAAATCAAAAACTCGTATAAACATAAATACGATATGTTGTTAGAAAAAGGTATAACAACTAAAATTCACAAGACTTTCACCATATGATGAGGAATCATATATTTAATGGGGAAATCTGACAGAGTACACACAAGAATGACTAGATCGAGTCCTGTTAACTAAAACGTCCTTTAATTTGGATCACAAAGACTAAATATACAATAAAAATATCATAGAGATCCTAATAAAAAAAATATCAAACCACAAAAACGATATCCATAATTCACTCTTAAATAAATCTAAATTAAATCAACAGAATCAAATACAAACTCTCATAAAGTTTTAATCTAAAATTCTATAAGATTTTGAGAATCAGAATCAGATAAAATTATATTATTATTTGAGAGATCTGATTAACATTCACGCAAGTTAATAAATCAGTGCAGTGTATCATTGAGGATATCTATATTTTATAATTATTTTCTATTTGTTTATTTGTGAAGGGTCAAACCCCAATTGGGTCGACTTTGAGTTTCCATGAATTTTATATATCATCCAACTAAGTGTAGAGAACGACACGTGTAGAAACCAATAAAAGATACGAAGTCCTTGACTTAATAGCTTGAAGAAATAACAAAGCAATTGAAACAACTATTAGAGCTAACCACTTGAGGGTCAATAACCCGCAAACAAACAAACAACTATATATGACTGAAAGAATAAGCTATCCATACAGTATTGTAACAACAGCAAATCAGGAAAAATGCTTACTTCACAAGGAGTAAGAGAATTTCTTTCCTGAATTACAAATTTCGTTAACGAAACAAACCAAATTGAGAGAACTACCTTCTGTGTCTTTGTCGATCTGTATCTTAGTTTGCATGGAGCGAGAGCGAGAGGAGCTTAAGGAGTGTGAATTTGAATCGTGAGGGATACATATACATAAAGCGCCCTGCATCTCGATAGGCTGAATCGTCGCGGAAAAAAGGGAGCCGCTGCAAATTGTCTTGGGATATGACTCTGAATTGTTTTGAAAGATGCATTGATGTTGTTGTACCTTAGGTTGTTTAACTTGTATAATTAAGAGATTTAAGACCCTATGCATAAAGGAATAGTACCTCATGCTGTTCAAGTTGTTTTTTATGACTTTTTCAAATCTGCTTTATAAAGTCGTATAGATATATCCACTACTACACATACCAAGTCCAATACGAACCACAAAGGCAACATTTCTAAAGCCATTGAAACTCATTGAAGCCCAATACAATTCATTAAGAGTCACTATATTCCATAAAGGCCCACGGGAGTTCATTAAGCGTCACTGAGTCAAATATGATCCACCAAGGCCATTACAGTTCATTAAGAGCCATCGAAGCTGATTAAGGTCCAATACCAAGAAAAACTGGACGATATCAAGGCAACTGAAACCCATGAAGGCCAATACATTTTATTAATAGTCACTTAAGCCCATGAAGGCCCAATCAAGTTGTTAAGAGCCACTTAACCTATGAACACCCAATAAAGTTGATTAAGAGTCCTTGAAGACCCAATTGAGACCGAACAAATTTAGATCGACATGTTTTCATTCATATTATCTTTTTTAGTTCCGATCCAGTTCGGTTCTCTTTTGGTGAACAGTCTAGTGGTCATGTTGTAAGAAAAATTAATATGCTTGTAACACCAACATCAAACAAAATCGACTACAGCATCAAACCCATTAATTTTTCTGGTGATGGATTAGATTCAGGAGGACGTAAACGAAAAACATCCGGGATACATCAACTAATCAAAAATCGGGTTCATCTAATTACTTCGAGATGATAAAAACCGAATTAAAATACATTTTCCGTTTTTATTATAATATCATTAATACTAGAAATTGAACATAATATCATTAAATATAAAATATCTGTAAGAACAAACCCAAAGGTTGTATTTATTTATTATTTAGCAAAAAAAGAATGAACGATTGATTTCCCGAACTAAACTTTAATACATCAAAAGAAACAAACGTGTTATGCCATGTTGCACTCGGGAGGAAATCCTTGAGGAAATCTCTTGGAATCTGAGCAGTAGTTGTAGATCATGTAATTCTTTTGCGCCCAGCTCAACCTCTCCTGCTTTGTATTGTCCAACCCCTCTGACAGCCAAGCTGGGTTAGACGCTGAGCCGTTGCAAGATGATTTCCCAGAAGACACAACGCAAGCATCTGCCTTGAAGTTTCTGTAGGAAGCAGTGAAAGGAGCCTGACTCCAGTCGGTCTTCACAAGCCCACCTCGGGTTGCCCAATCGTCAGCATTCCATAAGCTGGAGTGTATTCTCATTGGCTGGTCTTTTGGAAATGGTACCCCGATAGATTCCGCATTTTTGAACTCTCTAATCGGTGTTCCATCCACAGAAAATCTGATCCAAAATTAAAACAATGGAAGATAGATCATTAGTATGTTAAGATTCTTATACATTTGATGATCAACTACAGAATGCATGTAGTGTGTAGTAATAGCTACTGACTACATATATATATATATATATATATATATATATATATATATACAGAAACATGTGACCATATAATGTATAGATATACACTTACATGATGGTTCTAGGATTCCAGAGAATGGAATAGGTATGGAAATCGGCAGTTGGGTCGAACCAAAGGTAGAATTGCTGCTCTCTATTGCCTTTGCCTTGGCTAAACACATTTGTATGTAGAATGTAAGGATCACCACTCAAGTTACCCAAGAACTCGAAATCAATCTCATCCCAGTTTGAGCCTTTGGAAGACAACTGCATCAATACAATTACAATTACAATTAGGATTCTGTAATTATAGTATTTTGTAGTTCTAGCCAGCTAGGAATTCTGATCAATAACTAAGAACCTAGATTGCTAGTTAATTACAGGTGGTAAGATAAATCAAGAGAAAACTACTTACATAGTATGCAGTGACAGTGCCAGCAGAGTTGCCAGGAACAAGCTTGAGCTGCATATCGATCTTACCAAACATGTACTCGTTTCTTGATTCGAATCCAGAACCTGATGGTTTATCGAGTGAAAGGGTTAAGAGGTCGGCGTTGAGTATTTTACCACGGCCATCACCCCAAGTGATATCAAATTCATTGTAGAAATCAGCAGACACAAGGGTAGTAGCGAGCACTAGAACCAGTAGTAGGAGGTAGAAATCAGCAAGGAGCGAGGAAAAAGAAGAAAAGGCAGTGGCCATGTTGAATGTTTAGTTTGGTTGATGTGAAGATAGAAGATGTGAAGGGTGAAGCATTTATAGGGCTTTTCAAGGGTGATGAAGAAGGAAGTACGTAGTGTTGGTGAGCAGATTTTGGTTGTAAAACAGCTGTAGGTGATGGAATATCTAGAGATAGTAGGAAGATAATGCACTTTATGTTATATTTTAAAGCTAATAATAGTTAGTGATGGAATATGGCTACTCTACACGCGGTTTTGAACAAATTTTTGTGATATGTATGCATATATGATATATGTATACCAAGGGATAAAAGATAGTCAATGATATATATACATACTAGAATGATACCCGCATAATGTAGTGAGATTCATCTCGATTTTAATATTTCATTTTTTTTTGTCTCATTCGATGTCGGTTTTATGTGGTTTTGAGAAGAAAAAAAATAATGTTTTTCTTTTTGAATAAAATGTAAATATGAAGATATCATAAAAAATTGAAAAAAATAATTAATATTAGTACCAAACTAACTATATAAAAAAATGTGTATTTCTTTAATTCAAAATTTTATTTTAATTTAATAATACAATTTTTTATAAAGATAATGATCAAGTATTTTGTTATAAGTCAATTATTATCCTGTCTTTTTTAGATTTTTTATATTTAAAATAAGATATTTATCATTTATTCAATTATGTTTATTTGCAGTTAGTTACACGGATTTAAACATGAAGCTTTAATAAGTTGTACTTATGCACAATGTACTTGTAATTTTGAATTTTAAGTAATATGCATCAATAAACAGTACTTCATGCATAAAAAATGGTTTTTAAGAATTTTTGTTAAATGTTTTATAATATAGTGTGTGTGTGTGTATATATATATATATATATATAGAGAGAGAGAGAGAGAGTGAGAGAGAGAGGGAGGGAGAGAGAGAGAGAGGGAGAGAGAGAGACTTAGGATCATGTGAGACCAAAGGTTTTTCGTGAGACCCGTAAGACCAATTATCAACAATTGGATTAAATCTACAATATGGCAATCTGACATTCATAAACGACACGAGACTTCTCAATAATCACAAAATTGTCATCGTGCAACTTTAGACCATTATATTATTAGCTTATAAAGTTGATCAATGAACATAAATTGATCTTACATGTGTCACGAAAAACTTTGGTCTCACGTGAACTCAACCATATATATATATAATCCCAAGACGACCACCTGCTTTGCAGATAGCCCGGAGTCACCGTATTTGAACCTCCATGGCCACAAGTGAATTTTTATTTCTCCTTGGATTTGAACCTGGGACCTCTTGATCCTTTTGACCTTTAGAGTCAAGCTCAAACCAATCAAACACCATCATTCTCGTGATTTGGTCAATGATATTAATATTTACTTGAAATAAATATCTATAAAGTGATTATATTTAATTTTCTGCCACCTTCCTTGACTTCGCTATGGAATTTATGCCCAAAGACATGGTTGATCTTCCTCCCATATGCCTCGGAAACACACTATTTTCGATATTTAAATATTTATTTATTTTTCTAATTAAAAACTCTCGATAGATATCTACATATAAAATTAGAATCATATAAGAATAAAAGTTTTGATTAGAATTGTAATGAATAAGCTGATTTTTTGATTTGAAGACTAAAAACAACGTAAAGATTCAACTACTTTTAATTGATAACTGATAGAAAGCACCGACCTTTCATCCATTTTCATCTTTATATTCATGAACTTTTACATAGATCTAATCCTCACATGCATGATTTTATTAAAGTTTCAGTCATTGTGATAGACTATAAACAAAGGAGCATATTTCATAAACGGAAAATTAAAGAATGGGTCAATAATTGATGTTTAACGACGATTATGTCTCAACGATAAACTTGTGGTCGAAAACCAAACTTTTCGACCAAATCATAAGATTAACTTTTCAGCGTATCCTAAACCATTTGGTGATAGATCAATAGGTAGTTCAAGGTAAAAAAGAGTTTTGTAACCAGGGGGGGTCTGATTGGTTTGAGCTTGACTCCAAAAGTTAAAAGTACCTGGAGGTCTTAGGTTCAAATCTAAGGAGGAATAAAAATCCCCTTGTGGCCACGGAGGTTCAAATGCGGTGACTCTGGACTATCTGCAAAGCATGTGGTCGCCCTGAGATTAGTCGGCTCGCATAGCGGGTTAGATATTTAGGTTAATAAAAAAATAGTTTTGTTGTCACATTAGACTAATTCAATTCTACGAGAACCCAACCCCATATTATATATATATATATATATATATATATATATATATATTTAGGTGGAGGTTCAAACGAGAACCCCTGTGATTTACGAGAACGCGAGAACAACCCAATAACCTCAAACTTTTTTAATTAATAAATTAACTTTTATTATATATAAATAATTTAATAAGGACAATAATGTAATTAAGTAATTTTTATAATTTTTATTTTATTTTAATTAACCATAATTATCTTTTCACGTTCCACATTTTACTCTTGGTAGTTATCTTCTTCTTCTTCTCGCTAACATCTTTTCTTCATATCACACCTCTATCACATAAGTATTACACTCATATCATATGATTATCACACCTATATTATATGATTACACCAAAATTTGAACTTATCAACCAAAACGATAACCCAAGTGATGTATAACAGTGATTATCACACCCTTATCACATGATTATCACACCCAAATCATATGATGACACCAAAATTTTAACTTATCAACCAAAACGTTAACCCAAGTGATGTATAATGGTGATTATCACACCCCTATCACACTYATATCACATGATTATCACACCCCTATCATATGATTACACCAAAATTTTAACTTATTAACCAAAACGATAACCCAAGTGATGTATATAATGGTGATTATCACACCCCTATCACATGATTATCACACCCATATCACATGATTATCACACCTAGTATAATCCTAACTTATTTCGTAACCGTTTTACTAGATAATGATAATAATGAGTGTTTAAAAGATAATCATCGTGTTTAAAAGATTTGATGATATCATTTCCATTATTACCCTTTTAATTTTAAATTTTTTTGAATCTTTTTAAATTTAAATTTAAATTTAAATTTTAAAAATCTTTTAATTTTATTTTTAATCACAATATATGAGGTTATTGGATTGTTCTTGCGTTCTCGTAAATCACAGTAGTTCTCGTTTGAACCCTTCCCTATATATATATATATATATATATATATATATAAATTCATTCAAAGGAGAACTAATTAGTATAACTGTGAGATCCTATCTCAATCACAAATCAATGAATAAATTAGAAAACTAATATTTTTGGTAATTCGACTTAAAATTTTAATTTGAAGACATTTTAGGTATTTTAAATTTTTATCTCTCCTGTGTGTCTCTCTCTCCTACTTCGATGTGATACCCAAAATACACCAAGATACACATTGTGATATCCAAAACACATCAAGTAAAGTTCAAGATCATTGTGTATACATACATACATACATACATACATACATACATACATACATACATACATACATACATACATACATACATACATAGGGGCAGGTTCTTTTGTTAATCCAATAATTGGTATTAACTTTGTGAACTGATTTTGACCCTTGATTCTTAAAAATCTATGGATGAGATCAATTGTGACATTTTTGTAACTAATTAAAAATGAAGGATATCAAAACATATGTGAACAGGGGTATTTTTGGGAGATATGTCCAAATAGGTTACAAATCAATAATTAATTAATTACATCGGTTACAAATCGACAACTGCCCATTCCTTTTATAGTTCATAGAATCATCCGTGTTTTGCATTATGAATACATATGAACAAATATATAACTTATTAACTAATCTTATTCGTGGCTTTCACATATGAACATACGGGAACACTTATGAACACTTATTTGCACCTATTAAAACTTACGAACACTAAAGTAATTGGTTTTCACATGTGAGCACAATAATATATGATTAAAGTCTTTCGCTTGTGAACACATGTGAACAATATATACTCCATATGAACATTGGCGACTATATATATGTTGAAGATAGAACATCCAAGTTTCCTATCATATTAAAATCACAAGTCATCTATAATTTGGAAAAAAAAATTATTTTAGCTATAATCATGGGATTGATGTTTTTGTAAACGCACATTAATGAATGGTGATAGAAGAACTTAATCTAACGGTTTGTGATTGGTCTAAATGGTTTGTATAGTTAATACATTTTTCATGGTTAACAAAAGATATTAGCTCTTTTCTCTCTCTCTCTCTCTCTCTATATATATATATATATATATATATATATAATATAGTAATTAAACTAATTAAAGTAAACGGAAATATTAAACTAATTAAAGTAAATTGAATAATCAACACAAATTACTAATTTACCCTTCTTTTTTTATTTAAAAAAATATTAATTATTTTAAATGATTAGCTTACGTTGATTAGGCATACAAACTAATCACATCCAACCATTTACCAAGATTAAAACAAACTAAATAAGTAAGTGAAAAATAAAAGGAAAAAAAATTCACATTGGAGATACAGAAGGGCAAAACGGGAGAATATCAGTCAGTAAGCATCCCATTAGCTCTTCACTCTCCTTGTCAAGCTTGGTGGAGTGCCATTGCCAAGGGAGCATTTGCCTAGTCTGTGGTACATGATCTTAGTAAACTAGCCCAATAGCCTGCCTATTCATGTAGGTCTTCTGTTGGCAATCGAATCAACTCTTACACCGGTATTCAAATAAACTGCCGCAAAGAATAAGGTCAGAGCAAGCCGACCTATTCTATTACTTCTGAATAAAGAAAGAATTTTCCCCCTCTTTCAGTCATCAACGAGTTTATCTGTATGAATGTTAGGATCAAGGGGCATAGTAATTCGATCGACCATTAGGGACTGGAAGTTCGCCCCCTAAACAGATAGCAAGGCAACATAGACAAGAGTAGATGATAGGTTCAGGCCCTCAGGGCCACCCCATTCTTAATTTACCTACCCTTCCACATAGAGATGATAAGTGGGGGAATGAACTAATTAAGCAGGTTATGGCTAAATTTGGGATTAGCCATGAAATAAGATTCAAGTGCCTTTTCAAGTTTTAATAATCTATTATTTTTTCTCCCAAGTACTATGTGTTTTGGCTTCCATCGGGTTCGAGGCTTCTCGATTTCTTTCTGTAGAAAATGGATCATACTATGAGTACTGATACTACTAGAAAAGCGGGTATATATCATATTATTAAGGATCGAGGAAAAAGAAGAAAATGCAATGGCCATGTCCATTTAATTATTCATAAAGAATCACTACAACAAAATCGGGTTTGTAGGACACTCCCAAATTCTGAGTGTCCTAATAAACCTCTTTATAGGACCTAGTTTATAGGAATAAAAAATAAAGTGTCATATCTAAAAGTGTTGTAATAAGTTTATATAACGTTTTTTGACGTCGTAATAAGTTTTTAGGACACTTTTAATATAAAGCGTCCAATTATTAACTTTATAGGAACACTATTTGAAAAAATGTTATATAAAAACAAGTGTCCTATAAAATATTGAGTTTATAGGACAATTTCTCAAAAGTGTCATATAAAGTTGCTAATGTGACACTTTGTATTAAAAATATTCTTAAAAATTTGTTAAGACGCCCAAAATCGTCATATAAACTTATTACAACGCCTTTAAATAGGACACTTTATATTTTGGTCATATAAATTAAGTTCTATAAAGCGGTCTATTGGGACCTTTAGAAATTAGAGATGTCCTATAAACCCAATTTTGTTGTAGTGAATTAACGAAGGTTTGGTTTGGTTTGGTGGATGTGAAGATACAAGGTGTGAAGGGTTATGTATTTATAGGGTTTTTCAAAGGTGATGAAGAAGGAAGGTGAGACTATATGCTAGAAGAACGTACGCATATAGCAATCCTTTTCCTTGGGTTGGTGAGCAGATTTTTGTTGTAAAACAGCTGTTTAAGATATATATATATATATATATATATAGTAGAGCTTAAAAAAAGATGATTTAGTCTTTTATTTATATATATATATATATAGTAGAGCTTATAAAAGATGATATTAGGACGCGTTGAAATTGATGGTGTCCTATGAATCCAATTTTGTTACGGTAGTTATTGGAAGTTTATTATTTATTTATAGCCTTGTTTTTTCCTTTATGTTCCAAGAACAACTCGAACCAACCCTAACCCAAAACCATTAAAATCGTGATTTTAGCTTCAATTTGTTGTCTCATTCCAACTACAAACCAAAAAATAAGACACTCATCTCGCTAATAACAAAGAAAACTGTCTTAATTTGCTAATGAAAAGGTATGCTGTAACAGCAAATCTTTGATGGAGTTAATTAATTCCTAGTTTTGATACAAGAAAAGAAAAAAGCTTAATTAATTAAACAATGGAGAGCATATATACGCCAATATTCTCATCTTTAATTTATTATTAAATCGAGTAACAGCTACAAAGAATATGAATAAGTAATTCTATTTTCAATCTTAATTAAAACTAAATACATGAAAGAATATCTTATGGGGTCTTGCACTCCGGAGGAAATCCTTGWGGAAAACGCTTGGAATCTGAGCAGTAGTTGTAGATCATGTAGTTCTTTTGAACCCATCTCAGCCTTTCCTGCTTTGTGTTATCCAACTCCTCCGATAACCAATTACCAGAAGATGATAATGATGTTGTTGACCCATTATTACAAGACGATTTCCCAGAAGAAACAACACAAGCATCAGCCTTAAAGTTTCTGTAGGAAGCAGTGAAAGGAGCTTGACTCCAATCGGTCTTCACCAATCCACCTCTGGTTGCCCAATCATCAGCGTTCCATAAGCTAGAGTGTATCCTCATCGGCTGAGCTTTTGGAAACGGCACCCCTATCGATTCCGCATTCTTGAACTCTCTAATGGGCGTTCCATCCACAGAAAATCTGAAGTATTGATCATACAGGAAGATTAATAAACAGAAAGACGGATAAAAGATCTGTTGCTATACATACATAGTAATATGTAGAAGAAAGGAGGATGCATATATATATATATATATATATATATGTATATAATAGTACTTACATGATGCGTTGAGGGTTCCAGAGGATGGAATATGTGTGGAAATCAGAAGTTGGGTCGAACCACAGGTAGAACTGTTGCTCTCTGTTGCCTTTGCCTTGGCTAAACACATTTGTATGTAGAATATAAGGATCGCCACTCAAGTTACCCAAGAACTCGAAGTCGATCTCATCCCAGTTGGAGCCCTTGGAAGACAACTGCATGCAATTAGTAATGTTTGATTAGCATTTCCAAATTTCTAGCTAGAAATGATTAGTTTAATAAGTATCAAGTAATGAACAAGAAAGAGATAGATAATGACATAGTAATTAACAAGAAAGAGATAGATAATCACATAGTAAGCAGTGACTGTGCCAGCAGAGTTGCCAGGTACAAGCTTCAGCTGCATATCGATCTTGCCAAACAGGTATTCGTTTCTTGATTCAAAGCCAGAGCCAGATGATTTATCRAGGGAGAGAGTTAACTGATCGCCGCTCAGTATCTTACCGCGACCATCGCCCCAAGTAATATCAAACTCATTGTAGAAATCTGCAAAGACTACAATAGAAGTGCTCCCAAGAAATATAATCAGGTGGAGGAGGAAAACTGAAAGTGCAACGGTAGAAGAAGAAGAAGAAGCCATTTCTAGTAAATGTTGATGATGTGAATTAAGTTGAAGATAGAAGACATGAAAGAGAGTTGTATATATAGGGTAGGGTGAATTTATGAAGATGGATGAAGAAATTAAACTGATCTGGCATCTGGTAATGGTTAGCTTTTTTGTTGTGAAAAACAGCTGGTACAAGCGTGTGGGGATCTATAAGWGATRTCAAAGGGAGTGTGATGTTAAAAGCATGAATCTGCTACTAAATGCCATGAATGTCTGTGGGTTAAAGACGCGCTTCCAAATGTAATTAAATTCCCATAAT